TCATCAACCCATTCATCGTCCCTGCAAATGGGTAAAGTTCCTCAACCTTTCCTTTCATTCTTTTCACCCAAACAAAACCCAGCAGTTTCCATTGTTGCTTTTTTCTTGTTCCTTACAAAACCAACTCCAGCGGCTTCCATAGCTGCTTTTTATTCTTCCTTTAAAAAACCCTTAACCCACCTCCGATATCTCCAAGAAGAGATGGCAAGCACCGTACAAAAAATTTTAAAAATGATGGAAAATTTGGAGGAAGTAGGAGATCTACACGAGGCCTTTGAAGATTCGAGATGGATTTCGAAGAATTCATATCTAGATTTTGATTTTGAGAACCCAGTGAGAACTTAGATCTGGGTTCTCATCAAATACCCCAAGGATTCGCTTCTTCCTCTCAAAGAAAATAAAGATCAGACTAGTGGGTTTTCCATAATATTTCATGGAAAAAACATCATAATCCTTCAAAAGGTAAAAGCTTTTTGTTTGAATTTAAAATTGGCGTGTTTGGAAATTTTGAAGGTGTCATTGTCCATATGGTAATCATGTTGAAAGCTTTTACGAAGGAAATGGCACCCATTTAAGAAGCTCGTGTGGCGGCCACTTAACCATTGTCTAAAAGGGCATTTTATTTTAGGTGTGGGGTTGAATCCTCATCCCTTTCTGTATTCTTTTGCAATGACTATGACTGTTGCCTAAAAGGGGCAGTAGTTGATGAATTGCATTTTTATTTAGGTTCAATGTTTTTTATTAATAATTTTAATTTTATTAATTTTTAATTATTGTCCTTGTAAAAAAAAAAATAACACCCATTTGTGAGCAGAATTGGCATAGGCATGAGGTAATCACCTAGATATATATGTAGATCTTTTCTTTAAAAAAAATTTAAAAAAAAAAAGACTAAAATTGAAATGTAGATCTGGTTTAGCTAAAGAAAATTTAGATAGTGGCATGAGTTTATAAATTTAGAAGCAATGTAAAGGTTAATTTAGGAATGTGATAAGTACAAATCAATTAATGAGGTCCACATAAGCGTCCAGCGTGTTGGCCAGCTAAGCTTGGAGTTGAAGGATTGCTTAGGAGGATGACGTCAAACATTATATTTTTACCAATTTGTCCAACTCAAAAAGGTGGTAGGTGATTTCTCTTTTTTTTTTTTTAAGAGTAAATTTGTCCTATTGCAAAATTATTCTCCTAAGGGCCACATAACCGTCAATAAATCAGAAAAGTGTTTTTGACATTTTGACTTGCAAGAAGGAAAGTTCATAAATACCTATAAAATTATTTCGCCGATATTCGTGTACTTTTTTTTTTCAGAATAACTTAAAGATTGTTTTCTCTTTCTAAATTAACAATAATATTAGAGTATTATTTCTGAAACCAACTTAATCCTCTTTCCAAAAATTCGTTAAAAAATGAATAGCATTATAAATACTGTTAATGTACTATACAAATTCAAAGAATGAGATAACAGTTAATGATATATTAAAAAAAAAAAAAAAAGAAGTGCACCTTGCTATTGTGGATTGTGCTTTCTCCAAATGACGCGAAAAGAAATGCTGGGCTAGGCGAAAGGCTTCTTCACAGGCTGCACGCTTCAGTATCCTCTATCTTCTCCCAAGATTTTCATTACATGTAAAATAATAGAAACCAAAATGTAACAAATAAGTTAAAAAGTAAAAGATTGATCTAATCCTTTGGAGGAGAGGGAGAGTATTACTCCAATGAAAATTGAAATTAATATACATATATATTAATATTTACCGGTCATGTTTATAAAAAATTAGACAAAAAATACTTTCAAATTACATTATCTTAATAAAGTATTATATAAAGGTTAAAATATCCTTATTTCTATTTTAAAAATAGTTAAGATGTTTTAGTTTTTTAATAAGATTTTACTAAAATGACATAATTTTGAAATATTTTTACCTAATTTTTTGCAATACAAATACTCACTTTTCTTTTATATATAGTAGAGATTTACTTACACACAAATTTTACATATTAAATTTATACAAAATCTCAATCATTTATTTTTTCACTTTTAATAATTGAGATTTACTAATTAGACAAAAAGATATATCAAAAACAATTAAAAATGAAAAAATAAATAGTTGAAATTTTGTATAAATCTAATGCATAAGGCTTGTTAGTGGATCCCAACTTTATATATATATAAGACACTTACACAACGTTTTAATATACCACACTTGACAATATATTTATTAAAAAATTATTATTATTTAGTTTGAAATTCAATGTGAAAACATTTAAATATGCAATCATGCATACAACATGAGGAACCAATTAAACTTAATTTACTAGACTTATATTATATTTTAATTTATTAAACTGAATAGATGTTCACAAGTGTATTAAATTAAATTAGAGGTTGTACTAATGATTTTTCACATATATATATATATTAAATGTGAAGAAAATATACAAGAATTGCTAATAAAATATATATATGTACAAAAATTAAGGAAAAAAAAAGCATACCTTCTAGCGTCGAACTATTGTTTTTTGATCAATTCGAAAGTTTTGAAGAAGGTTGAGAATGCAAGTTGATGAAAAGAAAGGATGTGCTTACCGAAAGGCTTCTTCATAGACTGCCCGCTTCAGTATACTTCCTACCTTCTTCAAAGATTTTCCACTACTAAAATTAGGGTCTTATTCGGTCAAGCATCTTGACCGAATAAGCATCAATTTTGACCAAATAAGAA